TCTCAGCCCTAGATTTCAAATTTTGATTTGAAAACCAAATTCAGCCCAAATTAACAAATTGGGGCTGGAATTGAGTTCGAATCGAACCCGATTTGGATCGATTTGGGTCGATTTGGGTTCGAACGAGTTAATTTTGTAAAATTGAACTCGAATCGTCGCCGAATTGTGTCGAATTGCGCCGAATTGAGCTCGACGACGCTCGACGGGGTTCAATTTTATTTGATTTGGTTTTAATTAAATTAAATTTGATTTAATTTAATTAAATTGAGGCTTAATTCGGATTAATTTCACCTCGACAATGATCAATTGAGTTGATCGAGCGCGATCGAGCCTAGTCGGGCTCGATCGGGGTTGAGTCGATGCAAAAAAAATTCGTCAACAACAATGGCTCTATTTAGATTCGGTGCTAGATCTTGAAACAATAGATTATTTTTTGCTGCACCATTTATGAGATTTCTCTCAAAAATGTACAAGAACCAGTTGTGAATCTTCTCTCAATTGGTGATCCTGCATAGTTTGCATCAATATATCCTTCAATTTGTAAAGTATTATATCTTTTATGTACAATTTCATTGTTTGGACTTGATTTTATGATATTTAAAGATTCTATAAGCATCTTGGAGGTGAGTCCCTTTAGGTTGGTGCACGAATTGATTGATGATACTTATTGCAAAGGTGATGTATGGACCTGTGTGAAATAGATTATCAGTTTTTCAACTAATGTTCGATATTACCCCATGTCTATTTCTTTTCCTTTATTTGTCTCGAATTATGACCTGATTTAGTTGGGGTTTCTCAAGATTTGCAATCCGTCATTTTTGTTTCTTTTAGTTGATTTATGATACATTTTGGTTGAGATAGGAATATTCTTTACTCTGATTGAGCAAATTTTATGTCCAATAAATATTTGAGCTTGCCTAGCTCTTAAATCTCAAAATTTTCAATAGTATTTTTCTTGAAGGACTTGTCATCTCTATTGTCACCACCTGTAACAATTGCATATCAACATATATATTAAGAATTGAGATTTTATCATTAATGAAGTATTTTATGAAGGGGTATAATAGTCCTATTATAAATTACCCTTATTGAAAATTTGTTCTGGAAATTTATTTTGTTAGCTGACCATCAAACAAATGAGGAATACATTTAAATTTACCTAAGGTAAGCTAAATGTTATTAAATGAAATATCTGTATATATTATTAGGCTTGAAATTTCGGTACACTTCTATATATCAAAATATTCAAAATTAAAAATATAATTTAACAAAAATATTTTTGATGTTTTATGGAGATATGATAAAATGGGGTAAATTTTGAGGTAAAATTATGCTTACATTTTTGAAAATTTTCGGTATTATAAATTACCCTTATTGAAAATTTGTTATGGAAATCTATTATGTTAGCTGACCATCAAACAAATGAGGAAATTTTAGTTAAAGTTCTTCTTTCGCCTATGTTACCTCTTTTTCTATTATGTATTTCCAATTTTCTTTGATATAAGGGATTTGACAATTTTTGAGCTATTTATGATCAAAATCTAATATTCTCTCTTGTTCCTTAGTGTAAGTTAGATTCTTTTGTATGTCATTCATCATGTGAAATTGTCTGGTGGATATTTATTACCTATTTTCTTAGCAGTGACGTATAAAAATATTTTGAATATCTAACATGTCAGTTAGAAGAGCAAGCCTGTAAACATCCTTACCAATCTTCTCATTAACTTCAAAAGTTCCTGTATACCTAGGACTCAACTAGGGGTGTCAAAACGGGTTGGCGGGTCAGGTTCTGGTCTAACTTGAGTTAACCAGGGTCCAAACTGGTTGACCCTAACCCGACCCAACCCATGCGGGTTACTGGGTTGACCCGACCCGGGTGGGTTAAGTTCACGTGCATTTGCTCGTGTGTGCTACAGGAGCCTGCTGCGGTCTCAGGCGTCGATCACATCTTTGTTTCTTCCCATGATTATGGAGCTTGCTTCCACGCCATGGTAATCCCCTTTCATCATAAAAATTCACAATTTTCTTCCTCTTTTTCTTATATAACTGTATATTTTCTTCCTATTTGTAGTTGGTATCCTATCTTTCTCTCGTTGAAAGTGCGTTACAAATTAGTCTATCCATCAAGTTGAAAGTTTATATTTTTCCAAGGAGTGTATATCGATACCTATCTATCTCTGATGCACCTAGAATTTACATCTTTGTCTTCTTTTATGGAAAGATAGAGGTCCATTCAAAGGACATCAGCGGTCGTTTCTATAGCAGGTAACCTGGTAATGCGACGGCGCCGACGAGATGAGGTCACGCACTCATGGGCAATATTCCTGGGTCAACTCAGGTTGGTTTCGGTAGAGCTGTCAACATTTGACCTGACCCGAAAACCCGACCAAAAAATTTCGGGTTCGGGTTGACCCGAACCCGAACCGGGTAGGGTTCGGGTTAGAGATTTCAACCCGTTTGTAAAACCAGGTCGGGTTCGGGTTGACCCGGAAACCCGAAATCAACCCGATTTGACCCGCTGACTGAACTGCCCGCCGCGTGACTCGTATGATATAGTATCTACTCGTCCTTGGGGATCATATAAGAAGCCTTGGTCTCTTTCAGGATTGTCCATTCATGGAGGATAGGCCGGTTTGTTAAGCTTAACCCTTGGTGGTGTAGGAAGTAGTGGAATAGAGAAGAAAAGAAGGAAGTGGAGATTGGGGAATTTCGGCTAGGGCTAGCAAAGAGGCCTCTTGGATTTCGCTTTTAGTTTAGATGGAGGGGAAATATTCAAGTAAAAAAAATCTGAATTTAATTTCAGATTTTTGTAAGTGGAAAATGAGGGAATGTTTGAAATTCAAATCTCCCTTAATGGGGAAATTAATCAGGGGGGATTGCAGAGAGGGGCTGACGGTTTAGGGAATGGTTTAATGGGTGTAATTATTGGAGAGTGGATTTAATTGGAGAGAGAAAAGGCAAGGGAGGGGGTCTGCCTAGAGAGAGGGGGAGGGGAAATTGTCCACATTCATTGAATGTGTCTAGCTGCAATGTATGTGGGATTTAGAAACAAATTACAATTAATTTCATATTAGGAGTGATTTGTGGGGGCTTCCTATATTTTAGATTTATTAATTAGGAAAGGTTTTGAATTTCAAATATTATTTGGATTCAAATTAAGATTCTTTCTAAATCAATAGTAAGACTAATTAGGAAGGTAATAAAAGAATATTTGGAGGGAAATCAAGGGTTGGGGGATTGGTAGGCCGATAGCTATAGGGGTGAGGTTGGGCATGCCGTCGGTTGCGGGGGGGGGGGGGGGGGGGGGCGGCGGGCGTGGGCGCCTAAAAAAAATAAAAGTTTTCTATGGAAGAGTTGTAGTAATGTTTACTAGCATTTAGTATGAAAAATTGAAGATCTCACCATGCAAAATTTTTTGAAACAAACTAGGCTTTGAAATTGTTGCCAACTTTCCAATGTTTCGTTGGGGGAGGGGGGGGGGGGGGGAGGGGGGGGAAGGGGGGGGGGGGGGGGTGGAGAAGAAAATAACAATGGATAAGAACTGCGAGCCCGACCTCTATCGGCGGCTGATGGGTGATGCTTGGCCCTCTTCTAGGGTTCTCTCTTTTCTCAAGAGCTCACAAGAAGACAAGAACTAAAACTGAAAATTTCATTCATCAATCATTCATTACCTCCATACAATAGTGAAGACCTCTATATATAGGTCTCATAATAAGAGAAAAATAAAAGACTCAAATGCCTTTGGGGCTACAATATAAAAGAAATACCACACAGGGGTACGATGGTAAAACTGGAATAAAAATAAAAGAAATACAGAAATGCATCGTAAATTGAGACTCTGAATCATAGCTGTCGATCTATGATTCCTTTGATGGTAGACACGTCGAAATCTCCTGTTGATGTCCTCATCAATATCTATATATATTATTAGGCTTGAAATTTAGATACACTTTATATCAAAATTCTCGAATCTAATAAAAATATGTTTGATGTTTTATGGAGGTATGATAAAATGGGATAAATTTTGAGGCAAAAGTTATACTTACATTTTTGCAAATTTTAGGTTTAGGCCCCAATAAGCACCAGTTGACCGACCCAAACTTCTAATGGCAACAAATTATTTTGTTCAATCCAATTACTATGTTGGTTCAGCTTATGTAATTTATTTGGGCATTGGTTGTACTGGTTGGAGACCAATTTTTTTTTTCTTTTTGGCCAAAATATCACTACGGAAACTAAAAATTTGTAGCTAATCTTAGTTTTCCAAGTTTTAAAGAGAGTTATAGATCTTGGTTACATTATCCTGACTTCTAATCATTATATTTCCAGGGCTTACGTTACTAGGATAAAAAAATACAATGGATGGAAAACCCAATCCGTTATAATTGCAAGCAAAATTATTACTTAACCAAATCTGACCTAACTCGGTTGATCTGTGCACTATGCTTCTTTGATTTAACTTCCTGGTCTAAAGTAATCTGACCTTGGCCTTTGTATCGCTCATCTACCGGCACTCATGGGAGCATCTTACCAGATTTAATAAAGAATATGACTGTTGAAGGTTGTTTCAACTTTATTTAGTGAATTGAATTGTTGCTTACTTTCTATCTTGATACTTTTGGATGGTCTTTTGTGCACCCATAGAGAATGGGTCCTAGCTATCTCTTGTTCAAGGATCCTAGCTCAAAGACTCAAATAGGATTTCATTTTCTGATAGATGTCTACTTTCGTGCTTTTGTGAGTTGTTTGAGGTCCTATCATTGATCTCTTAACTATTTTAGTGAGGAGATGGTGGTTTTCTTGGTTTTCTTATAATGTTGTTGGACATATTTGTATTTGAGCTAGCCCATTCCTGCGATGGATAGCATACATGCTGGAGAACAAGTGCATATGTGCTGCATATGATATACTGGTCTGCTTTGACTGTTTCCCTGCCTGCTTTTGTTGAAAACTCATTGGCATTATCATACATTATTAAATTCTAAGAGAGTTTTTATCCATCCTTGCATTCCTTCTTTCAGGAATACAATCAGCACAAATAAAATTAATTATGGTTTCATTTGGGACAGCTTTTGATCACTGTTTTTTATTACTTTCAATTTTTTTTTTCTAAAAAGTTGTTTTAAAAAATAATAAAAAAGCTGTATCAAACAAAGCCAATATCTAGACTGCAGCTCCCTCCTTCACATGCACAGAAATCTATATGGACCATATTAGAGATCTGCATTTACTTAAGACATTATACGTTTGTTTGAGTAGCATTCTAACAATTTTTCTAGGTTCAGTCACGATTCATTGAAATAGCTTACTTTATCGAATTGATGCAGGTAATTATGCGCGTGCTATCGTCTCCTCCATTTCAAAATTATCGTGTCTGGTGGTCTCTTTCAGATTCCAAGTACGCAGGAACAGCTTTGTTAATAAAAAATCGTTGCAAACCAAAGAAGGTCTCATTCTCCTTAGACGGGAAAGGTGTGTTTTTAAACTTATGTAGCTTGCTCTTTATGAGTCTTTATGTACTGCTTGATTGGTGTTGTTGATTTTTAAAGTAAGTGAAATTTGTTTGGTGAGCATTGGAAAACAATGATGCGCTTTGTAATCTTATAAATGAAATATCAGATAAATACAAATTTAATAAATAAAAATGAAAGACACTTCGTTTTACTTGATCCATTCAATTTTGTCTCTTTGGCACCAATGATTCCGTCATTTTTTTCCATGATACCTATTTAGTATTTGGGTATTTCTGTCACATTAAGTAGCTAAGAACCATGGTCATAGTTTATAAAAGTAACTAAATGCTATACAACCAAGCTTAGCAAATCGATTCCTAGAAGATTTGAAAACATAATTGTCATTCTGAAGTACCTAATCTGTTGCTCTACTTGGGTATTTGTGTAAGCAGTAAATTTCATGTTGACCTTAGCTAACAAAGAGTTATGTGCTCTATCAACAGCACTTCATGATTCATTATTCAAAGGTTTTAGTCATCAGGGAACTTGTTAGTATTCCAATATATAATCGAGATTTAAGTTCGAAATCATTTCCTATGGAATTGAATAGTATTTTTGAAAGTAAGGTTCTCCCAAATTGATATTTTTTTTCAACATGGTCATCATCGAGATATTTGAATATTTTATTTTATTATTTGTACCTTGTCAAATTTGTCCTCTTGCTACTAGCAGATTAGGTTCAATTATTAACTTTTTTAGTTACCATTCGAGCAATGAACTTGATAGTTTGCATTTTTACAATGAATTTCTTTTGTAAAATGAATTTGAGAACCAGTGCAAGCATAAAATTAAATAAATTAGTGAATTTTACAGTGGTACACTATTTAAAACTTATATTTTTTAATGAATTAAATTCAAGTTTTTTCTTTATTTTAATCTGCACTGTATTCTCAAACTTAAAATTTAACTATCTTAGATATATTTGGTATGTGGGTATTTTGAATTTCTTTTAAATGGATTGCATACTTTTTGGCACAATTATATGTTGCACTTGCATGCTTTTTGGCGCATCGATATATTACACTTGCATGCTTTTTAATATACTTCACACTTTTTGATGTGCATACACAATGCACTTGTGTACTTTTAATGCATTTGCAAAGCTTATTCACTCTCTTTTTAATGACTTGCACGCATACGATGCACATACATAATGTAATTGTCTTTTTTGTAGTTTGACGGGTTTTAGGCTAAATCATGTTTAGTTCCTGCTCAAATTTGCCAAAATATATGATTTATTAAATCCTGGATTTAAGGCAAAAGTGCAAGCGGAGAATGAATAGGACCTAAGTTTATGTAGTATTTAAAGTTGTCACTTTCTATTTCTTTGGATTTAGGCTAAATCATATTTAAATCCTGCTCAAATTCAGTGAAGTATAAGATTTATTAAATCTTAGATTTACGGCAAAACTGAGAAGGATCCATATTTAAGTTTTTATAGGATTTACGGCTAGTTTGGATGCAGGATTTAGGCCGGTTATAGACAAGATTTGAGCTAAATCTTGCCAAATGCCAAAAAATGCAAAATTAAATCTCATGGTAAGTTTAAGCTCGACTTCATGGCTTTTTCGGTATTTTTTCCCTAAATCCCAGATTTCGTAAATTCGACATGTTGGCGGATTTAACTGAAGAAGCATGCACGAAGGGGAGAAATATCGTTAGCTTTGTGATGAATCCCGTCGCAACTTTCAATTTGATAACAAGGTCGTTGTCGGAGGAGGACAAGCTACACACTATAATACCAAAAATTTTTAAAATAAATGTAAGTATAAACTTCATCTAAATGTTAAATAATTTGCATTAATTTCTATTTTTTTAATTTTGAATATTTTGATATATAATAGTATATTTAAATATTAATTTAATTGTATAAGTATAGCTATTTAATCTATAGCTGTTTAATAATTTCAATAACAATTAAATTAAAACTGAAGTAATAGCTTATAGTTAATTAACAAGTGATGTAATAGTTCATTTATATATTAAAATACCTCTTCTGTAGCCAAACATCTTCCTTCTAACTTTTTGTTGCTGCTCTCAACTGTTCTTAGAGAAATTCAGCTCATTTTCAATCTTTTTTGCTTTCTCCACTAAGTCTAAGAACTTGTTGATATCAAAAAGTGCCAATGCTAGTTCCAGCTGGCTCCTAAGGCCTCTCAAAAAATCTGTGGCACTTCTCCTCTTGGGTGATGACATAATGAGGTGCATAATAGGACAAAGAAGTGAACTTGGTTTCATATTGTATAACTGTTTTTGAACCCTTAGTCAGATTGAAGAGTTTTTCTTGTAAAACTTATCTGGCTGAAGGAGGAATAAACTAATTTCTGAATACCCTAAAAAAATATCCCATTATATTCTAGTGATTGACATCTATCCAAAATTTTCACTCTGTTGTACTTGCCACCAATTTTTTGCTTCTCTCTTAGAACAAATGTGGCCAATTATATCTTTCTATTTTCAGGACATATTGTACCATCTTGGATCTTCCGTATCTTCAATAACCAATCCTCAACCACTATTGAATCACTTGCACCTTTGAATGCTAGGGGTTTAAAAGTCTGAAATAATTTTAAATGTCGATCCACTTCACTGTCACTTTTAGGTCTGGGTCTACTGCTAGTAAAAGACTTCTCCAGAGCTGCCATTTTATCCACCACTTGTGAGATCAGATGCACAATATCATGCAGTTCGTTAGACTTATTCCCTTCATTCATTTCTGTTTCTATATCTGGCCTGAATGACTGACCAATTATTCTTTCTAGCAATTATTTAAACATAATTATCTGTATGCATATAGATAATTTATAATGTATATACTCATTGTAATAAAGATAATCATTTTAAAGCATTAAATAAGCCTATTATGCAAGAATTCTTATTATACTAGAATGAATGCATAGTTTCATTCAACCTTGATTCAACCTATAGTTCTATATACATTAGATTCATTATCTTATCCTACTTGTTTAAATCCAATTATGCTTTCATTTGTTTTTGATTTGGCTCTAATACCAATTCCCTATAGTCAACAGAATGTAACATAGAAGGAAAATCTTAACAGATCTCATTCTGAACTATCTCTATCAGAATCAGGAAGTAAGAAGTAGTATATTCAGAATATTCTAATATGTCATAACCTATCAAGCATTTTATAATATAAGGCATATCAAAACTGTTAAAATTGACTTGCATACCCAAAAGTCTATACAGTTCCAACTCAGTTCTCTTTATACACCAAAAAAGTTTATATACACAAAATAGAAGTCAACTACCCTGATTACTATCCCGCTGGCTCTTCTGCAGAGTAACTATTGCTAATGAGATAGAGCTTAATGAAATACATAAGCAATGTATAATAAATGATAATAACATATTGACAATTAAGTTAAAACACATATAAATTTCATATTAGTTATAATAAATGCACAACATCACTTTCTGTCTTATTTACTGTTTAATACCTTTATATAAGTGATATGATGACTATAGGCTTTTGCACCATTCTAACTTTCTAATTCTAAGTTCGGTTTGAATTACTAACTTTTAGAATTGAAGCTGCTCTCTTTTTCAAGGTTGGATCCGAATTCTCAACTTTTAGAATTTCAAGAGTTTAGACTGATCTCGTCAGATCTTTTGCCTTTATTTGTGCTGGTCTATCCCTATATATAACTTATTTCACCTTTCTTATGTCATTCATTGTTAACAATCATAACATATGCTATTGATGTTACTATTTATTGAGTCAATAATTTATACATGAATAAACTGGAATGAATTGTTATCATAAATATAACAATTGTGAGGTTACAAATATATAAAATTTTACTATTTCTATGACATTGTTTGGGTATCTCACCTTACTAGGAGTTTGTTCTTCTAAATCCTATTCTCTTTTCCTCTTGTATACCACTTAAAAAATAAATTTTATTCATTTATGCATGCATGCATGTAACATATAAAATAACATAATTTATATGAAAATTTACCTAAAATAAACTCATTCAACCAAAATTTCACCTCTCACTCCCCCACTTCTTCCTCTCTACTTCCCTTCCTATTTATTTCCTTATTTTTTTTTGAATTTCTCTATCTTCACCTTACTGATTTCAGCAACACAGTAATTTCAGCCATTTTCCACAGCCTATGGCAGTCCGATGCTGTATTTCTCAACATATTTTAGCAATATGCAGGTTATTCAGACAAATATTTCAGCACCAAAACTGATTTCAGCAACTACAACCCTCACCTCAAATGAATTCAACACCATTCAATTGATTTCAGCAACCATACAGTTGTAATTTTACCTAATTTAAGCAAACAACAACTCATTTCAGCAAATATTAAGGATGCAACTACTACTACTACTGCATTCCTAAACTTCCTTCCCATATTTCCTTACCTGAAAATTCACCCACAGCGAGCTGCAACACTCACTCTGCAACCCCGCCTCCTCCAGCTCCCTGCTCTCCCACAACCTGTAGCCCTCGACAACAGTAGCTGCTACGAATGGTAGTGAATATCGTGATAATAAACGAAAGCCTTAAAGTCTAAAGACTTTCGTTTGAGTAGATATAAAACTAAATATATGGAGTGTAATTTTAATAATAATAGATCTAGTGGGGGATTGTGACTTTGGACGATCAAGTCATTAATAAGAGTTCTCGTTTTAGATATTTTGGGTCTATTTTTTAAAGTGATGGTGAAATAGATGGGGATATTATTAGTAGATTTCAAGTTGGATGGTTGAAGTGGAGGAATACATCGGACTTGTTGTGTGATAAAAAAAGTTCCTCTCAAACTTAAGAGAAAATTCTATAAGATGGTAGTGAGACTTGCATTGATTTTTGGTGCAGAATGTTGGCCATTAAAAGAGAAGCATAATATTAAATTAAGTGTTGCAAAGATGAGGTTGCTCAGGTGGATGAATGACTTTACTCTTAAAGATAATATATGAAATGAGCATATATGTGAAAAGGTTTGAGTAGCTCTAGTGGAATATAAGATTAGAGTGAGTCGCCTTAGATATTTTGGTCACATAAAACGATGATCTTCTGATGGCACAGTTAGGAAAGTAGATGTATTATGTTTCACTTATGTTAAGAAAGGTAGAGGTAGACCTAAAAAGACTTCGTTAGAAAATATTAGAAATAACATTTCTTTATTAGATTTAGATGAGAATTTAACTTTTAATAAGGCACAATGGAGAAAAAGAATTCATGTAGCCGACCCCACATGTGGGATAAAGACTTGTTGTTGTTGTTGTCGTCGTTGTATCCACTACTTCAGTCCAAGCACCCCTAGTCGTATGCGGATAAGGAGAATGAAATGAAAATAAGTTGACATTTAGAGGAAATTTATGCTTGCATTTATTTTGAACATTTTGGATATTTTACTTTGAATGGGTCGACGAGCCCATTTCATAAATGAGCAACTTTTGGTCTGCTTTTGCATGATGTCGTGTCCATAGCATATATTTTTCATCGTACTTGATTGAACTGCATGCAAGAAGTCCTTTTTGTATAAATTGAATATTCTTGACGTACTGGCATTGTCACATCCCACTTTGACTCCCCCCCCATACAGTTAACCATGAGTGTAACAAAAAGGATAATCTAGAGAGATATATCTGTTACTAACACCCATCCTGAAATACTTCTATCAAGATCAAGTGAGTAGAAAATAGCCTATCCAGATTATCCTAACACAACAAGGTTTTCACATCTTAATTAAAATGAATATTTCATAACTGGAAGCATATTTAAAATACATCAATTAAAATATATAACTTAATTTGTCTGTACATCTTCTACTATGACCTCTATGTATACCCAAAATGTATCTTCACAAAAAGTGCAATCAATCTTCCTGTCTAGTGCCTCACTGGCTCCTTCTCCTTTCTTGTAGTATAACTACTACTAATGAGCTAGAGCTCAATAAAATACACAAACATAATATAAGAAATAAGAAATATGTTTGCAGTTCATGGAGATTTATATAATAAGCGTAGCTGTACAAAACATCATTTATTGTTTTGTTTATTATTCAATACATTAGGCAAGTCATATGATGACTATAGGCTTTTGCACACTTACAACCCTCTAATTCAATGTTAGGTCCGTATTCTCAATTTTTAGAATTGAGAACAATTTTCTCATTTAAGGTTGGTTCCGAATTCTAACTTCTAGAATTGGGAGTGTAGGATATCTTTTTTATGGCTTCCCTAAGGTTTGTCACGTTGGGTCTTTCATATTTACTTGTACGGGCCTATCCCTCATATATGACTAATCTCATTAGACTTTTCATTTATCCTTTTAATAGGCTTCACATTTTCATAACAATCATAAAAAATGTCATTGCAATAAATACTTGATGAACCAATTACTAAATACATAATGAAAGTGAAAATAATACCATCACAATTATATAAAAATACGGTCACAATTATATGAAGCATTTCTATTTCCTATACCACAGTTTGGGTATCTCACCTCGTTCTCTAAAATAGTCGATTTGTTCTCCTACAGTATCCTGATGTCCTTTCCTCTTATATACAGCCTAAACATAAAAAATAAAAGTTATAATAAAAAACCTAAACATAATTTTTTTCATTTATGCATGCTTTCAAATAAAATAAAGCAAACAATGTAAACACCTTACAATTTAGCTCAATTTTACTCTTCCTCATTCAACCCAAAATTCCCTTTCCCCTACTTGCCTTCTTTTGTTCTGTGTTTCCTCCATGAATTCAGCAACAACCAACTGAATTTGTTCTCTTTACTGTTTTCAGTAACAGCAACATTTCAGCAAATAGCAGCAACAATTACTGCCTACTTTCAGCAAACCACAATAACCTCACCTGCTTTCAGCTTCCCCCCCCCCACACACACACACATTTTCTTTAGTGATTTCAGCAACCATTAATTTCAGAAATCCCTTCAGAATTACAGCAGCCGATTTTCCAAACCTTATTTCAGAAAACCTTGATTTAAGCAAAAAAGCACTTTCTGATTTAAGCAAACAGCACTGATTTAATTTCTGAAATTCCTGCAGCAGTCCTTACATCTTTTCTTTTCTATTTACTGGTTTCTGATTTTTTTTTTCTCAGCAGTCGCTGCAGCAGCAGCCAGCACCCGCCTCCCAGCTGTTCTGCTCGCCAGCTGTCTGTTTTGTTCATACACCAGAGAACGGGTGGGGAAATGGAATGGGAAGAAATTGTGGTTAATGCTTATTTACCTTACTCATATAACTATTAACATGCCAACTCCACTAACCCTTCCCACTAATACTAGCCGTAGGATCCAGTGGATCAGCCGTTGAAGCGATGCATGTGTTTGTAAGTGGGAAACCGGATTCTGCCACAACCATAATTAAAATTAATTAAACTACTACAGCACTAATGAATTAATTGACCTTTAGTTTAGTTAATTAACATTTAGTTCAGTAAATTTAATAACTTTTATTCTTGTTAAAAATAAAATTTTATGAAATTAGCTTTGTAATTTTACGGTGGAATGATGAAATGGAGTAACTTTGAGAAATAGTTATGCCAAAAACATTAAGCTTACATTTTGAAAATTCTGAGTATTATAGGCACGGTCCATTTGAGAACCCCACATTGACTAGTAAGTTTTTTTTTAATTTAAAGTGACTAAGTTATGCATGAGCTTAAGCCTATCATATGCAATTTGATGTCCAGATAGAAAGAGTCACAATCTTTGGATTAAATGGCTTCTTTGGACTAAGCGGTGGTATATGACAAGCTTCTGCTGTCAATTTAGATGATTCTTTATGAAGCAATTTATGGCCAATCACCACGTAGTATACTCTCTTATATTCGTCATATTAATACAGTACATGTAGAAACTGGGTTGAAAAAGTGAGCTTGCGTCCTTAAATTGATAATGGAAAATTTTAAGCCCTAGAAATGGAATGAAGCAGCAAGCCAATAAGTATCACACTAAGCATGAATTTCATATTGGTGACTTGGTTTAATATCGGCTATATCCAAATAGTCGGTCATTAGTTGTGATCAAATTTTAACCTTTTGGCACGTTTTTATGGTACCTACCAAGTTATCGGGCTGTGGCTTTAAGTTGTAGGCTTTAAAATTCATTTTTTTTTTCATGTATCTTGCTTCAAGATTGGCAAGTCTAATGGAAAAGCATGAGAACTTAGCCATTGTCAAGGTTTTGGTTTGATGGGCCCACTTGCCACATGAAGATGCAACTTGAGAATGTTGTTGCACATTGAAAGACAAATTTTCGAAATTCCAACCTTGAGGACAAGTTTCATGGGATGAATGATGGAATAACTGCAAACATTCCTATAACTATTTTCCTGATTATTGGATTTCTCTTCAAGAGTAAGATTGACGGTTCTCTTACTGTCATTGTGAAATCAATAGCCATCCTAACCTTATTAGGATGACATTCCATTATAAATGATATAGTTCATGCGGTTTGAAATCAATGAAAAATTATTATCTTACATTGTATTGCTTTTTTATTCTCTCTTCCGGGAGGCCAATGATCCTGTCAAAGTGATTATAATTTACTTGTCAAAGCTCTCCATGATAGATTGATTGTTGACCTAACATCAACTTCCAGCATTCAGGCTGGACTAGTAGTGGTGATTTTTATTTGTGTTATAAGTATCAGATACTTTATTTGGTCATTTTTACTGTATTCTTTATGATGTCATGAAAAATAAACTTCTCATATTGTATGTTCTTTTTTCAGTTGAGTAATTTTCCATTTTTCTAATTTAATTTCGTATTTTATTCCTGTCGATTTTGTGCTATATTCTTCTATGGAAACTTTTATACTACTTTTCTTTTATGTTTCCAGCTTCAAAGCATGAACCAGATGGGCGAGTGATTTTAGCAGAATTTGAATCATTTTTCTTGTTGAATACATACGTACCGAATAATGGTTGGAAAGACGATGAGAACTCATTTCAACGAAGAAGAAAGTGGGATAAGAGGATGCTCGAGTTTGTTGTCCAGCTAGATAAACCATTAATTTGGTGTGGGGATCTTAATGTAAGGTAATTTTCTACAATGACAGGGTTTAGAGTGGACTACCTTTTTTTATTTAACTTCTCCAATGGGCCACCTTCCTTTTCCATCTCTTTCTTTACGCTTAACATATTTCCATCCATTTCTTTTATATAATTTGTGATTTATTTCTTTCATATGGAATGACATGTTGTTTATTTTGTGCTGATGTCTATGCATGTTAGTAGTTGTTTGATCGTGTTATTTTTTACTGTTGGTTTACTTGTCGTGTTCCACTTGCTTAGCTTTCGTTTGAGAATCAATCTTCTTTACCTTTTCTAATCATATTGAAACAATATCCTTAACGTTATACTTAATTCCACGTTGAATTGAACGCGAGGCCTCAAGCTTGGGAACAGCGATCATAATTTAGAAGTTATTGAAGGTGTCCATTCTTGAGGTTTCTTATCTCTGTTCAATCTAGATATCTGGTCATGACATTTTATATTCCACCATATGCAGCCACCAAGACATTGACGTGAGCCATCCTGACTTTTTCAGCAACGCAAAGCTTAATGGATATATTCCTCCCAACAAAGAAGTGAGTTCTGGCTTGGAATGACAGTTAATGTGCAGGTTTTATTGTATGACTCTTATTCCTGCCGTATTATCAAGACATTCCTTTTTATCATGAATCTAGCAATCAAAAAGATTTTCTATCCTTCATTTGATGCTTGCTCAGCTTTCACATCCTACTGATGAAGTGGAGGAATTAGAGGAAAAGAAGAATACAGAAAATAGTGGAATGAATAAATAAAAATGAAATTGAGGGTTAAATGACACTGGATAAGTAACGGCCCCATTACTAGATTAAAGCACAAATTTTTTAACAATTAATTATAATTATTTTTTTCTCATTAAAATTTGTGGGGTTGGCATGTGAGTTTAAATTGAATATTTTGAAATTAAAATTTAGTTTGGAGTAATATCAATCAGCCTAAATGAAGCATTCAAGAAAGTAATTTAAGTCTTAATTGAATCTTTTAAATTGGAGTGGTATTATTTGTTTCTATGCTTGGAGAGAACTTTAGGACCCATCACCAGATTTGTAAAATATTTAATAATTGCTGCTGTTTCAGGCTAAATATCTATTGTAAGCTCCACTTCTATTTCTGGTGAAAACCCAGAAAGTTCCTCATAGAAAACATTAATATACTCATTCACTTTACTGATAATACTCACATTACCAATTGCATCATTGATGGCTGCTAATTTAGCCGCCGAAATATTAAGTCATCACTCGCCATCCATTTATTTATTTTAATAGATAAAATAGCAGATTAAATTACCTTTTCTCACAGTTAAAGTAAGAAACTTTATTATTAGGTAAGACAAATCTAAATTTTCCTCTTTTAACCCTCAATAGTAGGAACTTTTATTTGGTCCGGTGAACGTACGCTCCTCTACGTTCGGCCACCAATATTTTAGCGACACGTAGCATGAAGAAAAGTCGCCGACCCTTAAGTCGTTTGATCCCTAATGAATTTTAGTGTTACGGCCATCAATCATAGTATCCTAATGAATTTTAGTGTTACGTTTGATCCCTTAACTTAAGTCTCTACATCTTTTAAGTTTAGATTTGTTAAGGGTTTATTATTAGATTAGTTGGAATTGGTTTAGGTTTAATGTTTTAGATTTTTGCAATTCAATGATTATAAATGTTAATTATAATTTGATTAAGGATTAAGTATTTAATACATTTTAAAAATTAGATTATGATTGATTATTAATGGGTTAAGAACAACTAAACCTAGGAAAACGTGTCACTAAGTTTAATTTTGATGTCTCTATCCTATAGGGAGCATGCACCTTAAGTCTATGTTATCTAAGACTCAGTCCTTAATTTTTTTTGTTCTTAGGTGTCACTAAAGTTGTAGGACTAAAAGAAGTTTTGTTTTTTTAACCCTTAATACTTCTATGCGTATGTCAAAAGGTTTTAGGGATCTATGCATGAAAATATGATAATAAATAGCAAAGCAGTAGAAAGAAGAGAAGTGAAAAGAAAGACGACTAAACACGATAGGAAAAAAATGAAAATCAAACATAAAAGGAATGTCGGCATTATTGTTGTTTGGCACACTTCTTTGAAGCCAAGTGTGCCTATAAAACAACATTCTTCCTAATTCAACATAATATGAATAGGGAGAAGGGTGCTTTCAATGCCTTTTATTGTCCCCACATTCCAAACACAGCACTTGATACATTTAAAACGACTGACCAAATCATTATCTAAACAAAGCTCGAAACGGCGGAAGGGAACAAGCTCCTCAAAACCAAACTCAAGACAAGTCCTCTTTTTTTATATTTATCCAAAACCCTATTTTTAGAAGCAAACACCAGTAAAAGAAACTCAACTCAAGTAAGAAAGATCACCCATGTAAATAAAATCATTCGTTCTAAAACAAAGACATCAAAGAATCTTTCAACCCAAAGCCAATTATAAAACTTCTAATCCCAAGATTCACTTAAGATACCTTCCAAATGAAACTATACATAAAACTCTTATCAAAAAGAAAGTCAAAACACCAAAAACAATAAACTCTTCTTGACACAAAATCAACCAAGTACTTTTCTTCTTATTTGGTGTGGGGTAGAAATCCATGAAGCTTTACAACAAGAAGGTTTTATGAAACCCCTCTTTGTAAAACATTCGCGAAACTCAAATCATCCAACTTCTCAACATAAAACAATTTGCAAAATACAATTCACAAAATTCATCAAAAAGCTTCTCGATACAAAACAACTCACAAAATTTTTACAAAGCTTCCAACCATAAAGCCATTCATGAAACCTTTTAATACAAAACATTCCTAAAACTTCCAAATCATGAAGTCATTCACAAAACTTCCCAACATTCCAAAGAAGCACTTCTAGTCATGCAAAGAGACCTCTCAATGTAACATACTTCTCTACAAAACTATTCAAAACCGCAAACAACTAAAGGAGTATAAAAGAGAAAATTCTAGATGCTTACAAATAACGACACATGCGAAATTATTTCCTTCATTTCTATCAAAAATCCTCATAATAAAATCATACATATTCAAAGATGAGAATCAAAACTGCATTTTTCTAAATCAAGCAATAAATGATCAACTTATTTGGGTTTTGAAACTTGACTAAAATATAATCAAAAGAAGAGAGGTTTGGTGCAAAGACAATATTTCCTTATTTTTTTTGAAGCACATAAAAGAGCTCTCCAACACTTCTATTCTTGTTAAAACTCACCAAAGATATATAAACAACCATGACATTCTCTAACACGTATTTCTCTAAGTGGATTATAAAATTTTCAATCATAAAGCAAACAAGATTGCATTTTAACTATATATTCTCTAAATCAAAACATGAAGCATGCGAAATATTTGCGATAATACTCATAGACTTCACCTTTAATCAAGTGCAAAACCACTATTTGCCAAGAATTCAAAACCAACATCATGCTATTGGAAAGAAGGAAAACATGCATTTCAAATTCCCAAAGCTTTAAAGTGGAAATATAGTCTTAAGAAAGGTATTTCATTAAGTAACTAGCACATGACATGTAAATTGAGGTATGTGAGGTTATATATGGTCAAGAGAAGTTGAAACCTTCTTTCTGCATTTGAGAAAAAAAAAACGAAATATCCTTTATTTTTTTTTTATATTCATGAAATCAGTGAGTAAAACAAATCAAACTCATTTCCCTTTTTTTTATATATTGTTGCTGAGTTGCTATGCCAAAAGAAACCATGAGAAATAATGCCCAAACATCCATGGCATCAAGCTTTTCACATCACATAAAGAATCAACCTTGGTGCAAATATTTGAGATTCAAAGGGCCATGCTCTCTGATACGATACCATGTGTGAGTCAACCCCAATACCACGGAAACAAAAAGTAAAAGGTAACAAGTATAAAAGAGAGGTATCGATGGCATTGGAAGCCCTTAAGCAAAACAATCCTTGCTCACAAAAATCTTTGACTTAAAAGAAGAAATATTTGTATAACTACAGGTTTTATGGGTTATCGAAGTTATAAAGCTTCAACTCAAACCAAAATGTCACCACCTTCTTTCAATGGCTTTTCACCAAACATTTTGTATGCATACCATGAACAACGTCAAGGCCCTCTCCACTTATACATGACACTTAAACCACATGTTGCATGATGCAAATTAAACATAAATTTCCATAGCTTTTCTTCCACACAAAAAGGACATAACTTCAAACAATCCAAATTTTGTCATAGAACATAACTGTACTCATGAAGTCAACTAGCCGTATCCTCTAAATGAGGTACTCACAAGAAGAAGAGCATTTCATTAATCAAGCTATGAGAAGTTAACTATAAGAGTGAAAGGAAAGAAGAAAACTGCACAACCTCATTTTGATAGGTTAACCACTTAACCATTATCATTCCTGAAGAATAAGAGAATGAAGAAGTAGGAGAAGAAATGGAAGAAGAGGGAAGAGAGCAAAGTAAAGGATTACCTGCTGTTATGGAGAGGTTCGGCTAGGGAAAGAGGAGGTGAGCTTATGACCTTCCTTTTTTTTTGACGTGCAAAGGGCGGCGGAAGTAGGGGCTCGGTTCCGACCAAGCCTGCTTCGGGTGGGAGCTTCTCAGCCTCGTATGGATCTCGCGAATCCAGAGAAACAGATGGGGGCTTCGGTCTTCGGCGTGGTCTTCTCGGGGCGGCTTCACTTGAGGCGAACGAAGAGAGGGGCTTCGGCCCCTTTGCGATCCGAGGAGGCGAACAGAGAAGCTCAAGTGAGAGGGAGAAATCGAGAGCATGAGCCTTTCGCCTGGGAGCTTCTATGGAGAGAGAGGGAGAGAGACCTTCGGGTCGTACCCCATCGAGAGAGGGAGGGAGAGAATGAGGGCATCCATCAGAATTCGCCAACCGAAGGCTTCGTCCTCGCCTTCTAACATCTCTCCGCATTCTGCTTTGCTCCAAAAACATCGAAAAAAGGCCCTGCGACACTCGGGCTCACGCGACTGAATACTGCAGCAACGGTCGACTTCGGATTTTGGGGAAATCGGAGCCGTCGATGGGATTAGTAGATTTAGGAATTTATTCAAATTAAGCCAAAAGTAGACTGAAATTTATTTAGGATTAATTTGGGCTGATTTGAGTTATGTTTGTATATAGATTTGATTCAAATTGGCTCGATTTAGATTCAGGCTAGGTTCGATCGATTAAATCAAATCAAATTGAACTCAAATTGAAATCGATTTTGATCAAATCGAGCTCGTCGCAGTCAAAACAAACGACTCGGGCTTGAATGAATAGGGTCGAGTCAAATTAACATCAATTCGAATCGATTCGAGTTCGACTTTGGCTCGACGAGGTTCAATCGAATCAATCGAAGGTGCTCGAGAATATTCGAGCGAAAATCGAGGTCAACAGCGGCAGATCGAATGAACAAACTAGTTTATGTTATGTTAAACAAAAAACTGAAAGATAGACATCTCAAATTACATAATCAAGGAAATATTGAGAATGAAATTGACCCTTTGCTTGTTGATGAGTTACAATCTGATAATGAATGGGTTATTCCT